GAGGTTGGGAAGCGCCTATGGAAGAGCAGGGGGAAGTAGGAAGGCCTGAGGGGAAAGCTGGGGGCGGAAGGGTCAAATGCCCAGTCCTTCTGCTCCAACTTAGCAACTATTATGCACTTAGAGCCTGACCTACACTAGCTCAACTTTGAGCTCATAGTATAGATGAAAAAACTGGCCAAAGATCGCAGGCTGGTCAATTTACTGAAGAATCAAGACCATCCTGTATGACCTATAGCCCCAAGGCAGAAATGAGGCTGTGGGCTGGTCGATAGCCAGAGATATTTTCTTCCACCCCAGCCCATGCCAACAGGGACTGGAGGAAGATAAAAGTGGGACTGCTAACTACCATCTGCCATCTGCAGTCTGGACATCACCACGGCCCGTCGCAGGAGCTGGCCAGCTGGAGCATGAGTTGGAGTCTGTGTCTGAGCCTCATCCTCTGCCTGACGGTGCAGACTGCCCTGGGTAAACCCCCAGCATTTCCTGAGGGTGGCAGGCATGATGGACAGGCCCTTAATTAGTTCAACCTTTCCTGGGGGCAGTGGGACAGGAGTGTAGACAAACTGGGCAGGTGGGGGGGATGTTTTGAGTCCCTAATTCACCCTCCAGCTAGAAGCCTAGAATTTATATTGATATTTTAAATTTTATTTAATTATTTAAAAAATCGTAATTTATGTAGCTTTATAATTTATGATTTTACATATAAGTGTTTATTCAATTAATATTATATAAACTAGTCTCTATTAGTACATTCATGTATATTAGTATATACATGAGATACATAATATACATGTTATATAACCCCCAACCAGATCAAGATCTAGGACATTTCTAGCATCCCACATTCCCTTCCCAGTCAATACCTTAAAACACTACTCTGGCCTCTACAGTTTCGCTTGTTACAAGTGATTGTAATCTGAGGGAAACATTGTTACATTTCCCTTTAGTCTTTTTATTGCCTGTTTGTACAGAGCCTTGGTATGAGTGTGTATATTTCTTTTTAAAGATTTATTTACTTATACATGCAAGACCTGGGGTATAGGTCAGAGTTGCCGGGTATAAGAGGATTCATCAGAGCAGAACAGGCAGATTGGCTGAAATACACTGCTGAGGGGAGCAGTGAGCAGAAAGGAGAGGTCTGCCGAGCCGTGTGGGTCAGCTCCCTGGCTGGGAATCGAACTTATGCCATGGTGGCTACAGCTCACTTCTTAGTGCTATGCTTTAACCTGATGCGCCACCAGGGAGGGTCCATGATTTTATTCTCTGATTGTTTTCACTTAAAATTTCATAAGCAGTTTATAACTTGACTTTACAGATATGTTTACTTTGCCTCCAGATAAAAATAATGATTCCAGTATTTGCTTTGCTACATATGATCCTGTTCATTAAGCTCCTTAAATTGTTTCTGACTATTTGCATAAGGGAAGAAACTGAAGTGGGATTACTGAGACAAAGCATGTGAATATTTTGACTCACACATTTTGTCAAGTTATTTTCCCAAGGTATTGTATCAATTTATCCTCCACCAACAGTGTATGTGAATGTCCTTTTCACTGTATCTGCCAAAACTGGGTGCCATCATTTTTTAATTAATCAGGTAGAAGTTGTATCTCCTGTTTTAATTATCATTTTGTGACCACTAAATGATGGTATACGGTCTGTATAATGCTTAAATCTTGCCTCTGGCTAGCAGAGTGGGGGGCTGAGACCCTCCAGGGCAGCTCTGAGAGGGGTGAAGGGCATGCAGCCCCACGCTTTGAGCTGCTGCTGGTGCCCGTGGTAGATGGGCCAGGGTCTCTTCAGTGGCCGGGGTGAGTTTTCTCCTCTTTCCCTAGGTGACCTGCACACCAAAGAGCCTCTAGTGGTCACCAAATATGGGCCCCTCCGAGGGAAGCAGATGTATGTGGCAAAGACAAGCATCAATGTGTTCCTGGGAGTACCCTTCTCCAAACCTCCTGTGGGGACCCACAGATTCACCGCCCCGGAGGCCCCAGAGCCCTGGAAAGGAATCAGACATGCCACCACCCACGCCCCTGCGTAAGAGTCGGAATATCAGAGGAGAGTGAGGAGGGTATTGGACCTGTGCCTGTTTCTGGGCCCCCGTTGGGACAACTCGCGTGAAAAGAGTGCATTGTGGGAATACAGGCAGGCCTGGGGCCCATTCTGGGCCTCAGTTTCCAAATCTATACAATTCCAAACCTACAATAATTGCTCTGGGTGGTGAGTAAGGCACTGATAACATTGTTTTGGGCTGCACCCACAGAGGGTTCCAAGCAAAGCAGCAGCGGCCATTATACCCCCAGGTCCTGCTGGGAAGATGGGTTTTCCCAAAAAGTATGTGAGGAGCAGTGCTCACACACACACAGAGTGAACCCTGAGATCTCCTCACTCTCTGGAGGCTTGAGCGAAACAAGCCCACACAGCACCACTGGCCTTCCCTGCAGGAGTGCCCCGATGGGGAGGGCACAGGCTCACCCGAGTTTAATGTCCTCGGGTCTTGCTGTCATCTCTAGCCTGCTTCGAGCACTGATGAGTCTCATGAACATGTTGGGGCAATTGGCCCTTTCAAGCCCTAGGCTTGGCAGTGCACCCAGAACAAGTATATTTATTGTTTACTCAGACCATTAAGTAATACAGACTGTCCAGAACATTCTGTAACAATGTCCAGCATGTTAGATAAAGCCACTGGGTTGAGAAAAATGTCTACTGTAAAAACCTGGGTGTCTGTTCATATAAAAACTACAACCATTACCCTGGTGTCCAGTAGTTATGAACAGGCTGTCTGTTGTTAGAACATGAAAACTGTTCCTGGAACATGAGCGTGTTACTTGCTAGAACAACGGCCATCACTGCGGGAAGCCCAGGCACTCTGTGCATTCTGTGACTGCTATTTGGAACCCAAGTCAGGTGTACCCCATCTGAGATGGTCACTGTTGGAACCCCAAGGATCAGAAGTTGTTAAGCATTGGGTGTCCACCACATAGAAGTCTGGGTGTCAGCTGTTGGAACACCAGCCATGAGCTATCAGACAATGACTGTCTGGAACAACAGAGTGGTGGGTGTAAGAAATGGGGATGGCACAGAGCAGACTGTGGAGTGGTGTTAACGGGGTGAGAAAGTGGAGGGGAAGTTGTTACAGAGATAGCGCCTCCCACCAGGGTAGTTACAGCAGAGGTGGTAGGGGTGAACAGACTCCAAGTTATTTGGAAAGTAAAATTGACAGAACTTTCTGGAGCGCTGGAAGTGAGCCATGAGGGAAGAAGAGTAATCAAGGATAATGACTAGTTTGGGGCCGGAGCAGCAAAGAGAATGGGGGTACTACTTACTGAAATGGGGAAGACTAGGGCAAGAGCAGGTCTGGGCAAAACAAAGAGTTCACTTCAGGTCATGTTAAGTGTGGTGTCTGAGAGAGGTCCCCGTGGAGATGTGGGTAGGTGGTTTGGATGAAGGGGGCTGAGGCCAACTGGCCTACAGTATGTCTAAGACATGAAGTCCCCGGCCTGGCTGAAAAGCAACTGGGGAAAGAGACCAGTTGCAATAAAAAGAGAACCAAGGTTTGTGTCCTCGGCATTCCTACACTCAGACCCTGAGAGAAGGGGAGGCACCAGCAGTGAGGGGGCAGAAAAATGGGGTCCTCTGGAAAGCTGGTCAATGAGACTGGTCAACCACATAGAGTGCTAGCAGGGAAGTAAGGCAATGATGGAGAACTAGCAAGATGGAGGTCATGAGTGACCCTACAGCATCCTAACAGCAACATGAGCTGCTACCAAGAAGCCAGGAAGACACTCTATGTAGAGACAGAAATACACTGTCTCCTGGCGACGTGGGACAGGCTGGTGGGAGTGGAGACAAAGACAACCTATTAAAGAGTCTGCCCTTCAGGGAAGAAGAGAGAAGTTGCTGAAAAAGTGGGTGACAGAGGATAGGTTTGGACTAACATATGCTGAGGTGCTGCTGGGAGCTGGGAAGGAGGAGAGGGAGAGCTGGCGATGCTCTGGGGCTGGGCGGCAGGAGAGAGGTACACAAGCACGCACACACAGTGATGCTGAAGACAGGCTGGACAAGATGAGAAAGGAGCAGGGGCAGGCAGGGTCCCCGGCAGCCGGCCTCTCAAATGGGCCAGTCAGAAGAGTACAGAGAGCAGCCATCCCCAGGGCTGGAACAGCAAGAACAGGTAAGGTGACCTGAGTCCAAGCAAGCTTTGTAAGTGCATCAGATAACCACACGGTGTAAGGCACTGAGCTGGGTGCCAGACTTCACAAATCTATCTCCACCGCAGCCCGTGGGGAGTATCAGGTCCCTTGGGGAGCGAAACAGCTCATGGAAATTCCCCCAAACCAGTAGTGTGGTCGGGCTGGATAGAGCTTTGGGGAAGCATAGGCAAAGTGCCCAGCAGAGGGAGCTATGAGTTTTGCCAGGCAGAGGAGAAGGCTTTTGGCAGAGAGGGCAGAGCCCAGGGCTTGGAGGTGGGAGGCAAAGGTGTACATAAAGGTACCAGGGCAGGAGGTGACTACACAGACCGGAGAAGCTGCGTCAGTGTGGGTGAAGCTGAGCTTCATCTTAGGGGTGGGGAGGCCCCGAGGAAGGCTTTAAGGGAGGGAGGGAGCCGGCCACAGTGTGTTTTCTATCAATCTCTGGCCTGAGTGAGGAGGAGGAGCTGGAGGGGAGGGGAAGAGGCTGGGCAAGTCCTGAGAGGGGGGTGGAGGGCGCTGTGGTGGCCTCCACGACTGCAGCCCGACTGCAGCCCGGGACCAGCCTGTGCAGCAGCCGTCTGCGCAGCGGATCAGAGGCGGAGGGGACGGGAGGCCATGAAAGACTCGGAGGGCCCAGGGCACCTGGGTTACTGGCCACCAACAGGGTCTCCAATGGGTGCAGGGTACCTCTTCCCAGGCAGCCGCATGGGACAAGGCACAGGCAGGAGTGACCTTGAGGCCACCCCGGCGCCCCCCCCCCTTATGGAACTCATGTGAGGCTGCACAGACACACGCACAGGGCTGGCTGCACTTTGCTTTGGTTCTCTTCCACTGTGGAACCGGGTCTATAGCCATTCTCCTCAGACAGGTCCCCCAGCCACATCCAGCTGGGCCCCAACTCCCATCCTGCCCACAGGTGCCTCCAGGAGTCCTGGGGGCAGCTCGCCTCCATGTACTTCAACACGGGGAGACGGTACCAGTGGCTGCGCTTCAGGGAGGACTGCCTGTATCTGAACGTGCACGCGCCGGCGCGCGCCCGCGTGGACCCTCTGCTACCGGTGAGTGCCGCCTGCCCAGCTCGAGCCAGGCCCCTCAGGCCCTGCTCAGCCGCCCTCCCTCGCCCAGGTGATGGTCTGGTTCCCCGGAGGTGCCTTCCTCGTGGGCTCCGCTTCCACGTACGACGGCTCCGAGTTGGCGGCCCGTGAGAAAGTGGTGGTTGTGGTGCTGCAGCACAGACTCGGCATCCTGGGATTCCTGAGGTGCACCGGGCTCTCCCCCACGGGGGGGGGGGCGGGGGGGGCAGAAGCAGGTTTGAAGTGGAGAGAGGAGGGCCAGCGGGAAGTGGCGGGGCGGGGCCCACCTGAGGTGGGGAGGCGGTTGCTAGACCTGGTCTCTGAGGGACTGGAGAGGGTGAGCAGGTACACTCAAGCCTGGGGGCTTGGGACCCTAATAATGAGTCCCATATGGCCAGCACGGGAGATAGTCAGGCCCGCGGAAACTGGGCGCTGCTGGACCAGGTGGAAGCTCTGCGCTGGGTGCAGGAGAACATCGCAGCCTTTGGGGGAGACCCAGGCAGTGTGACCCTGTTCGGCCAGTCCTCTGGGGCCATGTGCATCTCGGGACTGGTGAGTTCACCCCGCAGAGGTCGGTCTGCTCCCACAAGTGCCTAGAGGTAGGCAGAATGACTGCACAGGAAAATGCTGCAGTCCCAACACCCTGCCCACACCCCTGCTAGCAAGATGGCGACCATGCCAAGGGGGTAGCAGCATTCAAGGCTAACACTGCCGAGAAATCCACGGCAGCAACAGGGATACTGACACTAGGGAGACCCAGTCAGTCTGTGATGGGCCACAAAGATTATCCAGCGCCTCCCACTTCCTCACTCCCCCACCCACCCAGCCCCACCACCCCTGAATGGAGGCCAACCATCTGCCTTCTGGGCAAGGCTGGAGCCACATGAGGCCCAGGAGTCATGAACAGCTCACCCGCTGTACCTGGGCGTGGGTGTGAAGTCAGGTACCCTGCGAGGGGCGTGGGCCTGGAAAGTGAGCAGGAACCACATCACAGTGACACTATTCGAACACGTAAGCACTTCCTGCGTGTCAGATGTGCTTCTACGTCCCTTACGTGTATTCATTCATTTAGTTCCCCCCAACAATCCAAAAAGAGAAGTTTTGCCCATTCTACAGATGAAGGTGCGGCCCAGAGAGGTCAGGCTACTTTATCCAAGATGCAATGGAGGGTAGGGAGAAATTTTAAGCAGGAAAGTGCCACAGCCAGATGTGAATTCGGAGAGGTGGCTCAGTCTGGGTGTGAAAGTAGCAGCAGAGGAAGGCTCTTTCCTACACCAGCAGAACCCTTACCACCATCTCAGATCACCTGTGGGGTCCATCCTACAACCAGGATGCCTGAGGAAGGCAGGCATCAGCTCTAGGTCTAGAACCCCAACCTAGGACCCCTGACTCCCTCTCAGCTGCCTGTCTTCTCTGCAGTGGCCAGACAGGTACCCCCGAAATGCCCGAATGATCCCCAGTTGTGCATCTCATGGGTTCTATGCTCCCCATCCCTGCAGATGGTGTCACCCCTAGCCCGGGGCCTCTTCCATCGGGCCATTTCCCAGAGTGGCACCGCAGTACTCGGAAATTTCATCAATCCTGACCCACTAAAGGTGGCCAAGGTAGGTGACCCCTCTTCCCCAGGGCTCAGCACAGAGCAGGAGGAGAGCATCAAGCCAGCTCCTCTTCTCTTTGTAGAAAATTGCCCACCTGGCAGGCTGCAAGCAGAACAGCACTCAGATTCTGGTAGAATGCCTGAGGGCGCTACCAGTGGCCAAGACGATGCATGTGTCTAGGAAGATGGTAGGTGGAAGTCCACGCTCCCTCACCTGATTGCCTGCAAGCCACCCTCTGACTTGGTGCCCTCCTGCCCCAGGAACTCTGTCCCAGGAGCACACTGGGGAAACTCTCTTTAACTCTAGTTCCTTCCTCTCCACCACAGAGATTCTTCCACTTCAATTCCCAGAATGATCCTCAGGAGGTGAGTAGGCCCCATTCTATACTGCTAGTATCTTGTTTAACCCTACTGTGTGCAGGCACTCAGTGAACTGTTTTGACCAAGATCCCTTCCCTCGTGAGGCTGATGTTTCTGTGGAAACATTGAACACTAGGATCTACTCATTCACTTCCTTAGGCAGCAGGTTGTTTAGTAGTGGTGGCGGAGGCGGCGGAGGTGGTGCGTGTTGTTGGGAGAAGCAGAATTTCAAAGAGACAGCTTCCCTGAGAAGTTAACATTTGGCAAAAATACTCAAGAGGGGAGAAAGTGAGCTATGTGGATACCTAGGGGGAGCACCCCAAGTCTGAGTAGCCTGGTCTTGCATTTGCTGCTCAAGGGGCCACTGAGCCCCAGCTTTTTCCCAAGTCAGAGCAGTCTATGGCGTGGGACCTGCCGAGCTGGGCACCCTAGACTGTAGGTAACCTGGGAGGGTATCGAGGGACTGCCCGCAGATACCCTTGTCTTATAGATTGTGTGGTTCATGAGCCCTGTGGTGGATGGTGTGGTGTTCCCAGACAACCCTGGGGTGCTCCTGACCCAGGGGCATATTGCACCTGTGCCCTACCTTTTGGGTGTCAACAACCTGGAGCTCAACTGGGTCTTGCCTTATGTAAGTAAATAGAGGGTACGCACCACAGCGGGTTACAAAGGATGCCTCTTAGGTAATGCCAGGTACCAGATCAGACCCCAGTGGCCTCACGGGGATGCCTAAGTGCTTGGGGCCTCCTGTAGTCCCTGGGCAGTAAGAGCTGGGCAGGAATAAAGCGAGGGGGGAAGAAATGTGGCTGCTTGGAGGGCTGGGGGCCCCAATCTTCAGATCTTAGTTTGTATGAATGATCATGTCCATTCCTGCCTACGAGCAGCTGCAAATCCTGGGACTCTCCCTTGCTCCTCACCACAGTAAGTGCCCCTGCTAAGGAGAGGTCCTTCCAGCCCCACTCCAGCTCTAAACTAGGTGCTCATGATAGACATGTGGGGGCAGGAGGGTGGGGAAAGGTCATGGCCCTTCCTGGAGTGTGTGCTCTATCTGAGAACTCACCATGTTGGGGTCCACACTGGGTGCCTGTCTTGTGGACAGATTCTGAAGTTCCCACTAAACCAACCCATGAGAAAAGAAGCCATCTCCAAGATACTCTGGCGTATCCGCACCCTGTTGGTAAGGGGCCCACCTGTCATGCTTTTCACAAAAGGCTCCCAGCCAGGATAGACTTTTCTTTTGAGGGGTGGGGGTGGTCTGGGGCTTGCCATGGAATCAGATGGCTGCTGGTGGGTAGGTCCCCACTCCCAGCATCCTGAAGGACATGGCAGGTGATACTTGTGCAGCAAAAATGCAGGGGTAGGCCTGCACCTCTGGTCTGTACCCCAGTTCTCTATACATAAATAAAACAAATCTTTTAAAGCAAAAAAGAGTACGGTCATCTATGGAAATATTTAGAATGCGTTCTGCGCGCACAGTGGTAAAAAACATCAGTAACAGTTACCCTATGACAGCCAGCACCCTGTAACCACCAAGGAGAACCGTAAAGAAAAAAAAAAGCAGGGGTAGGAATCAGCAAAGAGGGAAACCTTCCCAGGAAGCTCCCATTCCCTCCTCCCTCTGGCAGACAAGTCCCTGGGAGCACCCAGGCCCTCAGGAAGAGTTCAGAAGAGGGAACAGGCTTCCCTGGTTCTTGCCACAATCCTGGGAATTAAAGAAGGGTGGGTGTGGCTTCCCCACCCAGAATATCACCAAGGAGCAGTTACCACTGGTGATGGAGGAGTACCTGGGTGAGACTGATGACCACGACTGGAAGATGTTACGAAACCACTTGCTGGACCTGGCTGCAGACGCTACCTTTGTGTATGCCACGATACAGGCTGCTCGCTGCCACCGCAGTACGTGGGGTCCCCAAGAGGCCACACCTGATCACTCATGTGCTTATGTGCTTACCAACAGCTCACTCATCCTCTCTGTCCCTCTGGGCTGATGAAGGGTTCCAAGAGGCGTGAGGAGGCAGCATTCTTCCAGCTACAAGGAGAGAAGCTATTCCTGGGGTGAGGGGTGGGGGGGGCAGAGCCTAAGTAAGAACAAGGAAGACAGCCTAGGATGGTCAGGGAAGCCTTCCTGGCTGAGGGGTACCTTGAAGAATGTTTCCCTGGCTGACTGGGGCTTGGAGAACATGAGGGTAAGAGGTCAAAGATGGTAAATGCTCAAGAACTGTCAATGCCAAGCTGAGAGAGGGGTTCAGAAGAGGAAAAAGGCTTCCCTGGTCCTGGCCGCAGTCCTGGGGATTAAATTATAGCACCCCCAGGCTGCAGATGAGGAACTGCATCTCAGAGCTTGAGTGACAGGCTCCAGGTCGCATGGCTAACTAGGCCACTAAGATCCACTCCCTGAAGTGGATCCTGAAGCCTGCTTGCGGGAGGTGGGTGGGACGAATGGGAGGCGGCAGGGTGGGGGCTGAGGAGTCAGCCAGCAACTTCTGCAGCCAGCCTCAGTTTTGCTATTCCTAGATGCTGGCTTCCCTGTCTACCTCTATGAGTTTGAGCACCACGCTCCCACTGCCATCATCAAGCCCCGAACTGAGGGGGCAGACCACGGTGATGAGATCCACTACATCTTCGGGACTCCCTTCCTCAAAGGTGCTGAAGCCCCACCAGACAACCTCATGGATCTAGTCTCTCTACCTTTATGCTTGGACCCACCCCTCCATCGGCTGACCACAGTACCGGTCTTAATCGGGAATTCTCTCCCAAATCAAAGCCCCCCCATGGGAGGAACAGGCACAAGGAGGGGTGTCAGCACTCTCTGCGCTTTTCCAAATACATATTCCATTCTGTCTCCAGGCCACTCCACAGTGGAGGAGAGAGCCCTGAGCATCCAGATGATGAGATACTGGGCCAATTTTGCCCGCACAGGGTGAGTCTGGCCCCTCAACACATCTGGGCAACCTTTCTGACCAGCACTGGACACCGGCAGTCATTGCTAGTGCTGTCTTCTGTACCAAGCCAATACTGGGATCTGGAGTTGTAGGACATCAGAGCTATGACACCCGTCATCCAGGGGCTTGTTCACACTTAGGCAAAGCGTTAGATTACAGGGTGGCATAATGAGAGCTGTACTGGGAGTAGGCACCTTAAGAGCATAGAGGAAGTATTTGACCGAGCTGGGGGTTGGGGAGGGGTGGCTTCCTGGTAGAGGTCACATCTGAGCTGGCTTCAGTGACCCCATGACTGTTCTTCCCTCTGCAGTTTTTTCTTTCTATCCATCCACCTTCTGACACTCAAGGAGTTCTGAAATATCATCTGACAAAGTTACCACCTCCTTTAAAATTCTATATGGTTTCCCTTTTACCCCAGGATAGAGTCCCAACCCTGGAGCCTGACACATGAATCTGTGTTATCTCATTTTTATTCTATTCATATGTCCCGTTTTAACCTGGCCCTACAGTAATGCTCCAAAAGCTCTAGTGTTTCCTACCTCCTACCCTGAACACATACTTCCTTCCTGGAAGGATATCTCCTGCTTCTTCTTCTTTTTTTTTTTTAAAGATTTATGTATGCATACAGAACTGGGGTACAGGCCAGAGGTTTAGAAGCGGTGAGAGGATTCACCAGAGACAGAGCAGGGAGCAGAACAGGCCGACTGACGAAGTACACTTCTGAGGGGAGCAGCGGGCGGGGCAGGAGAGGTCTGCCGCGCCATGTGGGTCACCTCCAGGGTCGGGGATCGAACTTGCCCTGAGTGGCTGCGGCCAGCTTAAAGTGCTGCGTCCTAACCCGTTGCATCACCAGGGAGGGCCATTTTCCTATTCTTTCTTAAAGCTCTGTTGAAATATCACATCTATAAAGCCCATGGGCCCTGATTTCCACAGGGAAAGGGTAAAAGGAAACAGGGTGTCATTGAGCACAAATAATATCTCTTCCCTCCTCTTGGGCAGAAACCCCAATGATGGGAAGCTGCCCCATTGGCCACGCTACAATGAGCACGAGAAGTACCTGCAGCTGGACTATGCTGTGAGGGTGGGCATGAAACTCAAGGAGGAGAAGATGGCCTTTTGGACGAGGCTGCACCAGCACAGAGGGTGTGAAAAGCAGAACTTCTGAGAGAGAGTTCTACAGGAGAGAGCCCAAGGGATTGTCCTACCGCCCAGGTCTTGGGGCCACTAGTCCTGGACACACCTCGACCTCCCAAATCTAGGACCTGGAGTCAGGTCAAACCCAGAGACTTAGCCTGTTGTAATCTAGGACCTGTAGAGACTCCCTGTTGACTCCAGGTCAAACCCAGAGACTTAGCCTGTTGTTTGGGGGCTCTGTGTCAACCCACAGTACCTGCCTATCTCACTGACCTCATCACGTCAGGTCCAGCCTTATCACTGCCACACAGTGCCTAGTTCCCCGCCTCAGTAAACCCTTCTTTCTCTTCTCCAAATCTTCCTGCTCTTCGAGGCGAAGCCACATCTGGGAAGTCCAGATGGTCACTGCCCCTATCACCACACTCAGGCGAGCCTTTACTTACCTTCTGCCCAACCTCATGGCACCTCGCACTGGCCTGAGGTCTTGGGCAGCTTCTTTGTTAGAAGAAGAGAAAAGCTTTGGTAGCTTAGGCTCTTCCCCCCATTCCCCATCTCTCCAGTGGCCCCTCCAAAGCCTGGACACGGGGATGGTACACAATAAAACCATGTTGACTTGTCCTGAATTTTACTATGTGTAAAATGGTTGGAAACGCGGATAACATCTTGATTTGAGCCCTTGGAGGAAGCGTCGCTCGCCGCCTGCCCCTGGTCGGGCCTGCTGGGTTACACTCAGTCAAGGTAGCTGAGGCCACCTTACCTGAGCTGCAGAACCCTTTTGATTCTTCTTTAGCTCATGCACACCCCTCAGGATATCCACACTCTGTGCTCACTTGTCCAGTGATAAAGTCTTGGTGGCGCATCCAGATTCTTCACCCTCTGGTCTCTCTTGCAATCCAACCTGGACATACCCCAGCTTGTCCCACAGGTCTTTTGTTTCATGTTTTTTTGTGTAGTAAAATATACACAACGTAGGGCCTCCCTGGTGGCACAAGGGGTTAAATCTCAGCACTGTGAAGCTACCACAGCCACTGCAGCAGGAGTCTGATCCCCAGCGGGGGAGCTGAAGCACAGCCCTGCTGCTCCCCTCAGTAGTGACTCAATCGACCTGGTCTGCTCTCTCTACTCCATGGCTGGTGAATCCTGTCACCCACCCCAAACCCCTGTACCTCTGGCTTACACCCCAGCTCTTAGATGCATAAATAAATAAATATATACACACACAACATAGCTTTCACCTGGAAGGTGGTCCAGGCAACCTCTGTAGAGCTCAGCAGATGTTGAGCATGTTGGGCTGGGTTCACCCCAGTCCTTACAAGGGTCCTCCTGTAAGGTCCAGGTCCTAATCCCAGGCTGGTCCAGCTTCCTTGGGTTCTCACACAGGCCTGGGATAGGAGCTTTCTCCAAACAGATACCAGCCTGCAGGCTATCTTCTCCCAAATTAGAGGGAGCCTGGCTGAGCAGGAGACGGGGCTCAGTCAGGATGTGATGGGGCGAGAGTTGCCCAGAACTCTCAAGAAAACCCTCGGGCCCCCTTCCAGTGGCACTGCGGGTGAGTGATGGGGAGGGTTACCTACCCAGGATCTCCACCCTACCTTCCTGCCTAAGCTGAGGCCAGGCCACCCTGCATCTTTCCTAAATCCCCTGCCAGACCCCATTGAGAGGAATCAGTTTTCAAACCTGATTGGATCTTGGTGAAAACGCTAAGACATTTCTGCGGCTCCTCCTCCCCCTGCCACCAAAGCCACCACTAGTGAGAGAACAGGGGAATGCTCCCTGTGGCTAACTGAGTCTGAACCTGACTCCCTGCCAGGCAAACGCACCCCTTCCTCTCCTCTAACAAGTCCCCCACCAGCCCCGCTGCCTCTGAAGCAGCAATTACCAGCCAAGGCACCCCGGGAAGGGCCAATTAGTGCGGCAGGAGCGCCGGGCCCCTCCACAGCGGAGCTGACCACAGCACAGCCCCGCAGCTCAGCCGCTGCCTGGCCTGCCCAGCTTTCCTTGCCTGGCTGACGGCGGCGGCTGCCCGGGAGCCCAAGGGACACCACGTCCGGCCTACAGCCAACTGCTGTGATGGATCCAGCCGTCTGGCACAGGCCCAGAGCCCCAGCAGACACCAGGAGGCAGAGAGCTGAAACTCACCCCGCCTTTGGGTAGTAAGAGTGAGCTGAGTGGGGTAGGAGGGTCCTACCCTGTTCGGGTTCCTAGACTCATGACCCCTCCATGCTGGCCATCAGTCAGCTGCAGGGGGGCAGCAACCCACATTACTGAGCACCCCCAATCTCAGGCAGAAAACTCGGGCACTTCGGGGCAGAAGCACGCTCTTCCCATGCACTCCCCTAGTCTCACAGGCCTCCTGGCTTTGGGACTTTCACATGTGGAGGCCTGTGCTGGCAGGAACTCACAGCAGGACCCCACTGTGGCCCTGGCAGGCAGGGCCTGGCATTAGAAGTCCTCAACCACGCCTTTGGTGCGGGGAGGTAGATGGGAGGGTGGATGCTGGGTGCAGGACACAGGTGCTTAAAGGACTTCCTCCCCGAGCTGCTGCCCTGCACAACCTGACTCACACCTGTAGGCTTCTGGGGACCTAAGTTCTGCCCTGCCCTCCAGGAACCCACAGGCTGCCTGGGTAGAAGTTCCAGGGACTTGGCTGGGATCCCAAGCTGATTAAAGCTCTGAGGTCCAGGAAGGAGACATCAGGAACAGGAAAAGGGGCTGGAAGAGGGAGCAGTGGGGCACAGGTGCCAGCATTTAGGGCTCCCCCTTCCTCAGGTGAGCCCCTTCCAGCCCAAGCCTGATACCCTGTAGTAAAGCCCTGGATCTATGCCCAGGATACACCCTGGATAAGGCTGAAGTTTCTAGAAGGGAAAAGCAGCAGGGGAGAGCTCAGAAGGAAGGCCTGCAAAGGATGCTGGTTAGAGACCCGCTGTGCAATGTTTCTTGTTTCCCCATCAGCGCCACAAGGGACTGGGTTAGGGGTGCTAAGGCCCTGACCTGGACACAGAGGCACAGGGCTCAGGTGGCTTTCTCTGTCCCTTCCCTCTGTTCACCCCCCACCACACACACACACACTCAGGCCTGGTCTCGGATGAGAAGGGCTGGGGGCCACTGTATGCTCTGGAGTCTCGCTCAGACCCTATTAGGGTAGACTTTCTACGAGGAGGAGGTGATTGCTTCTCAAAAGGAATGAAAAACCTGACCTCTGGCCTGTACCCCAGCTCTGTATGCATAAATAAATAAATCTTTAAAAACGGTAACAGCAACTGTATGGCCACAAGTGCTTGGGTTTGGGCCTATTTGTCCTGGGAGGGAAGCCCACTTAAATCCTGAAAATTGAGGCTAAAATGAGAAGACTTCACAAAGCAGAGTTCGGCATATCTCTTTTAGGCAGATTTTGGGAGCTGTGTGTTCCTGCCTGGGCCTATTTGTCTGTGTATGTCCTTAGATAAGTTACTCTCCTCTCTGGACCTGGTTGCCATCATCTCTGCCCTGGGAACAATCTCTGTGGTCAAACACTACTCCAGCTGTGACCCAGCACTCCCATCTACCTCCAGCCCTTTCGGCCACAGGCTGTGTGGAGGATCACGCTGGTAACCCTTGCTAGGAGTCACTGGGTGATTATAATGGGTCTCTGACAGTGAAGGAGCAAGGACCCTTATGAAGGAGAGCCTTAAGGTGGAACAAAAGCCTTTCAGGAAATTAGCACCAGTGGCAGGAAAATGCATCAAAAGCTGGCAGAGGCGCCTGCTGCTGATTCATGTCTCCTGCCTAAGGAGCAGCCCTTCTGACTGGGGGAAGGACTAGTAGTCTTCAGGGCCTTCCAAAGAGCCCAGACCCAAGGCTCTAAAGCTATGGCACTTCTTAGCATTGCTGTGGGCACCACTATCAATTCACTATTCCTGAATCATGAGGTTCTGTAGTGCTAGGACAGGCTGTTGATGAGCTTTAATACAACCATTCCTTTTGCTGTGTGATCTTTGATACTCAATTGACCTCCCTGATCCTTCCTGCCAGATAGAATCCTGACCTCACCTGGCTTCTTGGGGATCTATGCATCTATAATAGCCAGTACATCTGGGGAAATAATAATTTTTCAAAGAGTCAGGATGCAACCACATCCTAACGACCGCTGGGAGTCTAATGTGAAAGCAGGAGAACAGCCTGAATACAGAGTTCATTCTCCTGGGCATCAGCACTTCCCTCCCACAGTGCCCAGATATGACAGGCAGAGAGCTGGTGGAGCATGACTTACTGGTTTACAGTGTGACTGAACTCCTGGATATAGCCTCCACGCCCTGCCTCCTCTGCGCACCTACACAAACACGCATACCTCACATGTCTCAGAGAAGGCTCTAGAGGGTGGGCTATTATTTGGCCCCACCTCACCCAAAGTCCCCCATGAGCAGTCTTTGCCGCCCATGCCAACAAGTTCACGGCTGCCTTCAGCTCCCAGAACTAACGTAGGCCCCAGCCAGCCATGTCATCTGATGCTAAGAGCAGCGGGATGCTTTGAAGGGGCTATGGATTAACAGAGTCTCGGAGCCTCTTCCAGGGTCACACCCCAGTCCCGAATTGCCACTGTCCCTGGCTGAGCTACAGATGGAGGCAGGCCAGAGTAAACCTCTGCCTTAGGAGGGCTAACTAACTCCCTAGCCTCAACTGATCAGTCTCTTTTTCAGGCCCTCCTCAGCTCATTTTATGGCATTTTGACTAGACCATGTGTGAACTTAAGTTGTTATTCAAAGCTCCCCTTGACTGCCAACATTTTAAGGTGGATTTGCAGCAACGTATACAGCTAAATAAATTCTAGAATTTCAGAGCTAAAAAGGATCTTAGATAGTCATGACTATCATTCCTTGAGGCCTCAGATACCTCTGCGCCAGACACCAACCCAAGTAGCACCTGTTGTTTTTGTCACCCTGGACACCCATTCCTGTCCCTGTGACATTACCCTGTCCACAGCAACTCGCAGTGTTCATAATTCAGGGATGATCAGGTAACCTAAATTTGGCCTATTCAAGACAATCCCGAGGTTTTTGTGGGAATACCAGGAAAGAGCAGT